AAGGTTTTTTTCTATTCAATAAATTATTTTAGAATATATTGTAGGATATATTATTATTATACTGTGTTATATACTTTAACCATGTATGGATTTAGCATATTGAGTTTAGATTTCTTGTTCTTTACGTATCTTGTCACCTATATAATATTATTTCTGTCCCAAAAAAATGTCATGTTTTTCTTTTTGATCTGTCCAAATAATTATTCACTTTTCTTTTTTGAATAATATATTTTATATATTTCTATATATGTCTTTGAAGTTTAAAATTTTAAACTTGAATATTTAAAATTTTAAAAAATAAATTAATAATTTTTTAAAAAGATAAGACATATTTTATATGTCTTTTTAAAAACTCTTACTCTTTAAAATTGTCATCTAAATTAGAACCGATGGAGTACAGTATATAGTTTCAAATTCAACAAAAGTAAAATATTCAGATGAATGGGATGAGAGATGGCAGAGGAGAGATTAGGGATAACAACAGGTTGAAAGAGTGAGAGGGGTGTGTGTGTGTGTGAGAGAGAGAGAGAGAGACGTGTGTCACGAGATGAAAATTCAGATGCATCTTTTTCCAAGAGGGGTGAAAAGGTTGATTGCAAAACGACAAGTAAAGAAGGATTAGATTCGACAAAAAAAGGACAAAACAAATGGACACCATTAGTTGATGCATTGACAATTTAAAAGCAAATGTGTCAGTCTTTGGATTTGCTTTTGCATCCAAAGTGGTCTCCTACAGCTGGATCTCTCCTCAGAGATACTCCATATTTTTGTGCATAATTTACTCTATACCAGTGCAAGTGTTTTTAAGGGGGAATCATAAAAACAAAAACAGAGTACTTTTTGTTTTTTTTAAAAAAAAACATACTCCGTAAATGGAGTGTAGAACGTGGATATTTTTTAAAATTTAAATTAATCATGTTTTTACGCTCAAAAAGTAAAGAATTTATATATATACACTTCTTTTAGTTGAATTATATATATACTCTATCTACAATATTAGATATAAAATTTAGACTCAACTTTCCTATATACATTTACAAAATTAGACATATGTTCCTGGCTATTGGAACCGACAACCCAGTGGGCCATTGGATTGGATCTGGCCAACCAGCTCCATATTTCTAAGATTTTCTAATAAATGTTAGTATCAATTTTCATCAACCCCCACTGATTCAGATTGGGTCCCACCTGCAAATAATAGAGGCTGACCGGCAAAAAAACAAAAAAATGGACACCATAACTAATGAAGCAGATCCACTAATGAAGTACCAAAAGGCAATAACTCACAATTATAATAGTATATAACTGCAAAGCATGCTAGTGATGGAGCAAGTGATAGTCAAATTACACAAACACCTTTGTTTTTAACAAAAATGTCCTTAATCTCATTTTAACAAATACACTAACACCATCTAAAGTTAAATAGTAATATATAATACTTTGGTGGCAACATAATTTGCTAGCATTGTAGAGTTCAGTGTTCATGAATTCAAACTTGCACCAGGCCCAACAGATTAGGGGGTCTATTGAGACTAGTGGTAAATTTCAACTTTCGTCAGATTACACATCTTTGAAATTTATCTAAGGTAAACTAAGTTAAAAGAATTCTCCATTTAAATCTCTTACAGTCTAGAGTGACCAATATCATATTTATGTGAAATCTGCACCCTAATGAATATTATTATTATTATTATTATACACATAATATATATATATATATATATATATATATATATATATATATATATAATGAATAAAAAAATTAGATGGATAATAAGGTCCTTACCCTCCCAGTTGGTATAACCTCCACCTGAAGTCCCAAATGAGGCAATAAAGTTCTTTGCATTGCTAAATTACCCACACACAAAAACTAATAATAATAATTCACATCCTACAAATAATTTGGATTTCGGACAGCTAGAATTTTTTGTTTTAAAAAGGACCATAACCCATCATAGGAAATTCTCATTCCTGACTCTCCTCAAACACACACACACACCAATCATATACCATCTGTGAGCAATATTACATCTTTATTTTTCAAAAACAGGATAGGAGTTGAAGTCTCAATGGAGATATGCGTGTGATTATCGACTAAGAAAAATATAAAAATAAAAATGCAGTAGTAGGTACCCTCGTCTGCTAACCATAATATTATCTTTTGGTTTCGCTCCTGTATTTATTTTTGGACAATACTTAAATTCTCACTATTGAGAATTTACAACATACTACTATTGAGGTAAATCAATGATAAATGAACATGTCATCTTTAGTTATTAAAACAAAAGTGATGGGAAATGCTCACTTACCAAATCAGAAAAGGTGATTTGATTATTATTAATAATTTGGTAATTAAAATAGGATGTGTCCATTTATCATTAGTCCACTTAAGTAGTCAATATGTTATAGATTCTCACTAATAAGACCTAAGTATTGTTCTTTATTTTTCGCTACTTTTTCCCTCCACTGCGGCCCTAAATTAAAGAGAAGTGGATAGAGTAAATGAAAAATAATAACTGAATCGTTTCTTGCAATAATTCAATAATTCTAGGACAAAAGTTATAAAAAAAAGTAGAGATAGTTGACAGCTACTTTGAAGGAAAAAGCAGATGTACCTAACTCTTATTAAAAATATTCATGACATTCAGCAGTGTTACTTTTCCTTTCATAATGTAGTGGTGCACATAACATAGTTATTAAGGTCACTCACTTGTGCCACTATGTGAAAATCTGACATCCTACCAGTGTAACCTCCTTTAAAGATAGGAATTTAAAAGCAATATTTGCCCCCACAAAAACTTGTGAGTTTCAAAGACTCTAATTGGGAGAATATGGTTTCCCTCTTGGCATCCTCCTCTTCTCCTTGTCCTTCACTTCTAACCATTTTCTCCGTCACACTACATTTTTAATCACTTAGTTGTGCGAGAAGATTTGCTACTGGGAGTGCAAGTGAGTATCTCAAGTAATATAATAACAAGCTTGAACTGTTAAACATGTTAGGTTTTGAAAGACCAAAAGTCACATGAGATCATCCATTATCCATAATATGTAACCATTTAGCTAGGTAAACAAATTGCAATATTTGTTCCACAAAAACTTGTGAGGTTCGGTAGATATAAGAGCTTCAGAGACTTTAACTAGGGGTGGCAACTTAAGTCCAAACCCATTAAAGCGTCCAAATCTGCCCACTAAAATTAAATCATTCGGGCTTAAATTGTCACCCGACTCACCCCTAGTTAGATCGGATAACCACCATGTAGCTGGATCGGAGAACCACTTTGTAGTTGGATTGGAGAACCACCGTTCGGTACACAAACACGAAGATGAGAGATTGAAGTCTTCTTTAGAGACACTAGATTGATTCGATATATTGTATCTCACTTCAGAGGTGTTTAGTATATGAAATAATATAGTGTCACCTCATAAGTGTTTAATGTATTAAATGATATAATGTTTAGCTGTGGATATTATATTCTCTAGGGTTAAGTGCACTAACCCTGTCAACTATGAGCGATTGCAAGAAACCCCTTGAACTAAAAACTACCTGGGAAGAATAAGAATGTTGCACTTAATCCCACGGCATCAAACAACCCTCAAGTCTTTAACTAAAAAATAAAATTACCATTTTACCCATAAATTAAAAGGCATTGTTTCCTCTCATATCCCATTCGAGTTGTTGACTTGGCCTAACACCAGATTTTTCATGTGGAAAAACTCAGCAAGGAAAAACCAAGGGACCATAGTTCAAAGCAAACAATTCTCTATATATTGACAAAAAGTTAGTCCGACTTTCACAGTGTTGCAGACCTTAGACTTACATGATCTTGCAAACGAGCTGCTAGAGTCGAACACGAAAATCGAAGGTAAATTGAGTTTGAAGATGAAATTGGGTTGAAATTGATCAATACCAATGAAGCTCCATGCTCTCAACTTAATCACAGGTAAATAAAAATAAATAAAAATAATAAAAAATCTCTATATCATCTCATAGTAAAATTTTACAACATTCCATACCTACTTTTCCTTTCCAAATGTACTGCTGCACAGAATCATTAAGGTCACTCGCATGTGTGGCTAGTGATATTTTTCCAGTTATTTTTGTATCCTTCCTGCTTGTGTGTACAAATGAGAGTCTGCAATTCAGGACATCACCAACATAACTTCCTTTAAGAATGGATTTCAAAAACTAGTGAGATGTCTTGCTATTGAGAATGCGAATGAATATCTCAGGCTATTGCAAGATTGAAAGCATGCGAAAGACCAAAAGTTCCCGAGATTCTGTTACCAACTATTCACCATGTTAGAAGCTTGAAGACTAACTTCTAATGAAAAGCAGGATTCTATCCTGAGTTCTTTGACATTATCAACCCATTGTAGTAGGGTTGAGGTAGTCACTTTCTGCAATGGTTCACCTCAAAGATGCAGCGATGCTCCCCCATCAGTGAGTACACCTATTCTCTGACATACAACATTTTAACCTGCAGAAACCTTTCACTATGTTAAACATGTATATTCTAACAGATGAACATTTCTCTCACAATCAAAGAGAATAACTTTTTTTACAAACTGTTATTTTTGAAGTACCAAAAAACAGAGTTTGATGTATGATTATATCGATCTGCATTGAGAAACATAATGAACTATTTTTCACGTGAGCCGCGACTATCACTTTGTTGGACCAAATTTAATATTCAGTTCTGATTCTATTTATGTTCTAGAAATCATGGAAATTCTTTTCAAATTATTTTACTTCATATTAAGTTGTAGTCATGACAGTGCTGTTCCTCTTGTAGCCACTGGCATTTATTTGGCGAATTTTAAGTTTATTTAGAAGATGGATGCATAAATTCCCATAAAATTAAAGGATATGAAATAAATAGCTGTTTTTTAATTATTTTTTGGAAGGTAATAGAGGGTTTTACTCATGAAGATAACAGGAATTAAGAGACATACCATTTCATTCCAAAATGGTTGCAAGGGGCCATCGATTGTTTTTATCTTCACAGTGTTGAGGTATTGCGAGGAAGCATTTCCAATTTGGGGCAGCGTTCTATTGACATTGTTACTAAGGATGGCAATTTAGAAATGCAAAAGCATGACAGGCATGGTAGATCTTCAAGGGCCACTCTCTTTAATCGGGGGAGCAAAAGATCGTCTTCCACTTCGTTTCTTACACCCTCATCTCTTCCATCTACTCCTGCTGTTGCATTTGATCCTTCAATTTTAAAAATCTCTTCGAGGAAGCGACACAGTTGCACTTTGAGTTCTTCTAGGTTCTCGAAACTTCCAAGCAATCTTGATGATGCAACATTTAATAGTTCGCCACACCTTTTCACTTGTAAAAATCTCAGTTTGGGAACAGAATCAGTTGGAACTGTGCTATGCCATATCTCTTTAAAGTTTTTCATGTCTTTGATACGCAAGACCTCCAAGCAAGGAAATTTAACCTGGAAAATATCATTAACTAAGTAATTATGCCAGTAACTTGACAATGTATTAGTCACAAAGAAGAACAAAGAAGTGAAAAGAAGGCATAACTTCAAACATGTAAATCTTATCCTCATCCCTTCCACTGTACATAATGTGGAGTTCTTGATATCAATTGAAAGCATAAACATGCTTCGAGATTAATTTTGTAATATTTCATTGTAGTTTCTGTTCTATTTATAATATTTGGATGAGGTTTTAGTTGTTGAAGAGCACCAATTGGAGGTAAAATGAGAGAAAATTGATCAACAGATTTGGACATGTGCAAATAAGACTACTAAGTGCATCAGTTAGGAAGAATGACATGATTGACATCGAGGTAAAGTTAGGGAAAGGGAAGATTGAAAATAGTATGGGTAGAATTAGTAAGGAAACATGTGTTAGATGTTAGGACATGAGTACCTTCTGGTTGAAAAGAGCTCGCCACTCAGGAATACTATCCTCCTCTGTTTGTTCTTCTTCTTTGGATCCACAATTGCAGTAGAAATTTCTGAGCTCTGGCAACATTTGAAGTGTCATAATCCTTAATTGAGGGAACACAAGGATCTCGTCATCGGTTTCTTCTTCTTCTTCTTGTCGCTTTTCAATGACAACTATTTCTTCCATCTTCCAACAACGTTCTATTCTCAATTCTCGGAGCTGACAAAGATTTCTTACGATGGATAGTGAAAATACATTTCTCAATCTATCACAAGCAAAAAAATCAACAATTGTTAGATCGGAATAGCTATGATATACATCCAAATATTGCTTTTGGTACAACCCTGTGCGCCTCAAGTTAGGCAGTGAATATAGCTTCAGTTCCCGTAACCGAGGGAGTATGATTGTTGGTGCTGATGTTGCACACCCTTCTTCAACATTCAGCACTTCAACTACGGATACAACTGACGCACATGAGTCAACATCAAGTTTTTCAAGGTTCTGTAGCCTTGGAAGCACATTGGATGGAATCACATTAACCAGTTTTTGACAGCCATACACCTCGATAAGCCTTACCTTCCGGAAAGAATCTTCTGCTTCTGAACCTTGGAATAATTTGATTTTCCAAATTACTCTAAGGCTTTTTAATTCTGTAACTGTCAACTCCTCCAAAGCTGGGAATTTAACCTGCAAAATTCAATTACATCACATTTTGTTACTTGATTTGGGAGGAGGTGGTCCATGCACAAGGTATAATAGGTTAAACTACAAAATGACTCAAAACTTGCAGCTTCAAAACATCACTGGAGCTATTAGTAAATTATTCTAACCAGTTCTCTTTAACACAACTTGTACTCCTATCACTTTAAAAAAAACAAATGTTAGTATTAAAATATTCAAAAATCAAAAGAATGTTAAGAGTAAGATTTAGCAATTCCACACAATTAGGTAGTACTCAGATTTTACATCGACGATTTGATATGTAACATTTTATAGACAAATAAGAATATTCAAAAATAAAAAGAATGTTAAAGAGTAATAATTGTTTTCCAGCGTTGTAAAAATTAGCTTGATCAAGAACAATGGATCACTTTCTTACTCTGCAGCCCACTACAGTTTAAATTTAAAAGGTCAACCATATATGTGATTTTTTTATTGCTATATGGACACTCAAGACTAGCATGGATTTTGCAAGAAAGGAAAATACTTGAGAATTCTGAATTTAATTAATAATACATAAAAAAAATGTGAACAAAAGCATAAAGTTCACCATTGAAATCATATTATGAACTTAAAATTTGCCAAAACAGGCTTGCAAATAGCTAATACTCTGATCTGGTAGCAGGCCCAAACCAAGCACTGAGCCAAATTTTATTCAAGAATGAAACCCAGGGAAAATCCCCAGTTAACACTGAAAAATACGAGTAAAATATCAGCAGTGTATTATTAAAAAATAAAGTCATGCATCAACACTACCGATGCTGAGAAAAACTTATTGGGCCAAAAATGACTGAAAATAAAAGGAAAAACAAAGTCAGTAACGCGAATTGTAAGCACTTGTTGATTTGGAGATAAAATAAAATAAAATAAAATAAAAAGATAGATGAGAGTCGTGAATGTTTATAGTGTAGCAATTTAAGGAAAGATGACTGGGTGTTATAGGTTAATGAAAAGGGTAATTATATGATTTCAATTATACAAAGAAAGTTGTACATCATGAGAAGCCTAATTTGGAGGACTGATTGTTCCTGCTGCTAAATAACTCCACTAGGTTCTGTTAATTTCATTTAGAGAGGAGTTAACACACACATACCTTGTCATTGAAGAGTGCTTCCACTATGGGAAGAGTCTCCTTTCCTCTTTCGTTTTCTTGTCCCCCTCTTTTGGATCTATAACTGCAGCAAAAGCTTTTGAGTTTTGGCAAGTATTCAAGTGTCAAAGTCTTCAATTGAGGGAAGATGAGGATCTCATCATCGGCTAGATCTTCTTCACTATTTTCTCCTTGTCCAGTTTCAACTGCAACTATCTCTTCCATCTTCTTACATGCAGTTACTTCTAATTCTTGGAAGTGCACAAGGTTTTTTGCTATGGATGGTGAGAATACATTTCTCACACTGTTACAATTATCAATGAAGAGAACGCTTAGGTTTTCATAGACATGAGGACTATCAGAAAGTACCTTTTTGTTCAATCCCATGTGCATCAAGTTAGGTAGCATTCCTAGATGCATTGCTCCTATTCGAGGGAGTACAATTGTTGGTGCTGATGTCGTAGACCCTTTTTCAATGGTAAGCACTTCAACTTCACATACTACTGATTCACACCATTTAACTTCAAGCATCTCCAGATTCTGTAACCTCGGAAGCAAATTAGAGGGAATCACATTCACCAGTTTGTCACATTGACATACTTCCATGTACCTTAGGCGCCAAAATGAATCTTCTGCTTCATTCACTAGGAGTGATTGGTTGTCCCATATTGCTGTAATGGTTCCCAAGGATGAAATGTTCAATTGCTCTAAGGCAGGGAATACAACCTGAAAATTTCATTATATTAATTTTTCTAATTAAAAACTTCAAGAACCCAGCTTTTTACTCAGTGTTATACTATTAAAGTTTGCAACAAGATTCTATCTCTGCCACTACTGTTTGCTTCTACTATATTCAAATAAAAATTATGAACATACTTGCTAGTTTAAAATAAAAATGCAACATCATTTTGCATAAGGAGCCAAATTAGAGTTCTTGTTGTCACAGAAAATAATTAGAAGGCTAACGTCTGAGCATGACAAGAAAAATAAATAAAAAATTTGTCTGAGCTTACCTTATCATTAAACAAAGCCTGTGCAAGGGTAGAAGATCTACACTCTGTAGTTGACTTCTTCTTCATATTGTTGGCATAGATGCTTCTGAGGTTTGGTAAATTCTCCAACTCCATGTTCTTTAATTGACGAAAAATAATTTTATCCACGACTTCCTCGCCATCTTTAACTACTTCCTCCATTGACATGCATTTACTTATTTTTAATTCTTGGAGTTGCCGAAGGCCTCTTGCAATGGATGGGGAGAAGAGATATTTCAATCTACAATTTTGAATTCTTAATACAGTTAATTTACTGAAAGAACCTGATGCAGAGGGTCCCTTAGTGTGTGCATTCCATTTTGGTTTGAATAGATGTTCCATCTCATCACAATCCTCAACTTTAAGATACTTCAAGTCTAGAAACCCCTTACCATCTCTATAATCAAGCACATTCTTTAAACCTTCCAATCCAGTTAAATATAGTACTTCAGCTTTAACTATCAACATGTTAAGCTCCCTCTTCAAAGTAATACCTTCGAGTTTCAAGATCCTTGTCGCTGAGTAATTTTCCTCAGGATAAAATCCACTCCCAATGGATATTTTAAATCTGATCAACGACTCAAACAGGCGCTCCTTGGGCAGTAACATGTCATTCGGTATATGAATTTCTAAAATGACTAAGCTAAGCAGTGAATTTAGTTCAACAAGGCTTGCATTGCCTTGAACCCCCCATCGCTTAAAATAACATGGTATGTACAATTCCTCAAGGCGGGACAGACTTGATATGATACCCGATGGAAGAATTTTTACGTTATAACAGTTTCTCAAATCCAACAACCGCAGACGAGTCAACTGTCCGATTCCCTGAGCCAGCTCTTTGAGATCAAAATCACTAACGCTTAATATCTCAAGATTCTTTAATTCCTTGACAAAAGCTAGGTTCACCAGCTGGCAGTCAACTAGACGTAGCATCCGCAGATTTTTTAGTGATGATGGTAATGTCAATACGCGCATATTACACAAATCTAAAACTTCAAGCTTTTCCATCCCTTTAAAAAAGCTAATTGGAACTTTTGGAACTTCTAGTACTGAAGGATTGTTGCATTCCAATACTAAGGTAAGTAGTTCTGGACATTTTAAATTACGGGGAAGCTCACGAATATTCTTGGACCGTAATGAGATTGAACTGCAACATTTATATTCATCTTCTTCTGGCCACTCTTGGACACCGGTTTTCACTAGAAATGCATGTTCCTCTCTTGATGCAATTGATATGGCAACATGTCGAATGACATCATGCATTTTAAAGAAGTTCTCATTTTTACCTTCTAACAACAAGTAGGATTTCTTGAGGGTTTCAACCAACACACGTGTTCTGTCTCTTGCTTTTTTCAATGTATTCATGCCTTGAAGAAACCTCGTTCCCACTCCATATCTCAGCAAGTCATCAATTGAAATCTCAGCATCTTCTCGAAACAAGCAGCAATGCAGAAAGCATGATCGTTCATCTGCCTGCTCTAGATACCTGTAGCTCAACTCTATGCGTGAATATAGTTTTGTTGTCACTCCCTCAATGTTACCTCCCTTAGAGTTTCTCAATTGTTCAATTGCATCATCCCAAGCATGCTTATTTTCATCCTTCAGTGCTGCTCCAACTGTAAGTATTGCCAAGGGCAAACGGTCACATTCTCTACACACTTTTTCCGCTACAGAATGCATTTCAGGAGATTCAGTAGAATCTCCCACTGTTTTCTTAAATAGGCTCCATGCTTCAGCCTCCGATAAGAGTCCAATTGGGAAATTTTTCTCCACCTCCATCTCTTTGCACATTTCATCTCTTCGGGACGTTAGAACAATTTTGCAACCTTTGGTTTGATCGCCTGTAGATGGAATTCCTATTTCTTCCAACTTAATTTGATCATTCCAAACATCATCGATTATTACAAGAATCTTATTCCCATTTTTCAATCTATTATGCAGCTGCCCCTTCCTCCCACCTTGAGTCTCTTTATTAAATGTCATATTTAGACAGTCAGCAAGTTCTTCTTGAATACTTTTCAGATCTGGATTTTCAGATATGACCGTCTTAGCAACCTCATCAAAAAGCTTTTCTTTTTTAGCTTGTTTGGCAACTTCTTCTACCATTCTCGTCTTTCCAACACCTGGCATTCCATAGACACCAATTTTGTAACTCTCATCATCTTTAAGTGCCTCCATGATCTCCTTAAAAACCAGTTCTCTCGATTCAAAACCCTCATAGTCTGTGGTGGATGTGTACCATATATCCATTATAGGAGCAGGGTGTCCAACTGTGTCAAAAATGCCATCTTCTAAAAGCTTACTAACAACCTTCATCTTCTTTCTTCCTTCCCTACCTAGCCGATACATTAAGCAAACACCAAGACACTTGATCCTTTCTCTGTCATCCATTAATTTCTTCACGTCTTCTTCCGTCTCATCAACCTTCTTTAGCCAATTCAATACATCCTCCTCAATGACTTCTGCACTGTCCATGGCTCTACTCACTGCTCCTTGATTCCTCCCCCTCTCACCCCTAAGCTTCTCAATTTCATGTTCAAGATCCTTAATGTGCTTCTTGTAGTGAACCAAATAACCAATGTGATGCCCAACGGATGAGAAGAAGTGCTCGACAAGCGGATATAAGAGCTTCCCCACAATAATATCAATGACAATCATTTTCGACTTCCCAGCTACTCCTTTTATTATTTTATTGGCTTCGGTGTTTCTTAATTCTCCAAAGGAGATGATGCAACAAAAATAAAGAAAAAAAATTATTATAGAGAAATGGCAGTAATAATAATGTAGATAGCTACAACTATTGTTGATGAAAAGAATAAAAAGAGATTTCAAGATTACTGTGGCTTATGGAGTTGTTTGAATGGAGCTATTAAAGTGACTCAAATCCACCAGTACATTGAGTTTTCTTTTGTAATAGACAAACAAGAGAAAAAGAAAGATAAGAAAAGTAAGATTTCAAGAGAGAGATCCAAATTTAGAGGGGGAAAATCAGAGGAGATTATGCAATACAAAGGATAAGGCTCTGTTTGGTTAGATAGAAATTGATAATTTGATAGTGGAAAAAGTGAGAGTAAAGGAAAGTGAATTGAATGAAATGAAATTAAAATTTCCATAGGATATTTGATTAGCATGAAGTTTTTCAAGAAAATTATGAAAAATTCTATTTTATGGTTCAAATAGCATGAATTTTACCATAAAAGAAAAGACTTTATTGTAAGGTCATAAAACTTTCTCAATAAATCAAAATTTTCCTAGGTCCGTTTGGTTAGATGGAAACCAATACTGAAAAGTAAAGGTGAAAGTGAAAGAAAGTGAAATGAATGAAGGAAAGGGTAAAAAAAATTAGGGTTCATTTAGTTACCATGAATATTTTTCAAAAAAAAAAAAAAAAAAATTGTGGAAAAGTTTCATTTCATAATTTGAATAATATAAAAGTTAATAGAAAGTACTATGATTTACCTATATTGTGGATATTTTTATTAAAAATGACCATATGTCTAAATAAATTTATACTCAGTAATTTAAAAAAATAAAAAAAATAAAAGCAATATAAGAATTTAAATATATATATTTGTTGGACACTAGAGAGAGATAACTAATATACTATTCTTATCAAAATTTATGTATAAACAAATTTTATTTTAGAAAGTAAAAAAATGGTATAATTGAAATTTCATATATTTTCTCTCAAGAAATCAAAATTTCTCTAGGAAAAATTTGTGGGAAAGTTGGGTCGTTGTGGAAAGTTACTTTCCCACATAATTTTTATATTCCTCCTATCCCAACTCTTAGACAATTTTTTTTTTTTTTTTTTTTTTAAATCATTTATTCTCCTTTCCAACAGTTTTTTTTTTTTTCCTAACCAAACTAAGACTTGGAAAATTTTATGGGAAAGTTAATTTTTCTTTCAAAATTTTCATTTCCTTTCTTTTCTTGCTATTTCAATCTAACCAACCAGAGTCCAATAGAAAGCAAATGGGAGTAACAGAAATAGGGAGAGCTAAGATTGTTGTTATTGAAGAAACTGAAGAAAATAGATAACCATACACATACCTATGGTTTGTGGCCATTTTGTCCAGATGGTGCTAGTAAGCTATCCAAAAAAAAATCCAAATGCACCAAATCTAATGGTAAATGGAAAGTGAAGATTTACAATGTATTTATCAAAGAAAGAGCAGAGAGAGAGAAATTGGGTGTAAAAGACAAACCTGATGAGAAATGAAAGGAAGTTATGGTCCTTTTGAGTGTGGTTAGGCTTTCAAGGTTACGCCTGTTTTGCGGGACCTCTAAACTCTCTAACTGATGAAGAAGACAATGGTGGAGATGGTGAACAAGTGTTGGTCAATACTCAATAGTCCATTGCTTCCATTTTGCTACACATGGTGTTATTATTACCCATTTATTTATTTTTCTTCTTCTTCTTCATTTTCCTTTTTCTGCCGGCCCATTAGGGTTAACTCTCCTAAGCTATACAACTTAGTGCTCATTAGGGCTACATTTTTATCAATTTTTGCTTTACAACTTATATATCTCTCTAAATCTAGTAACCTTTTTTTTTTTTCTTTTTTCTTTTTTCCATAAATTAGGGGAAAAGAAAATCGAATACGGGATTATTATGTGCTCTACTAACTAGCCGATTCCATAATACTACAGTTAAATCTCATAATCTAGACCATACATAACCTAGTGCTTATTTATTGATGCCTAGCTGAATTCCCATTTGCCTATTAGAAAGATAATTAAAATATGTGAAAAAATAAAATTAAAATATGAATTTAAGACACAATATTGTGTATCCAAGAACAAAATCAAGCAAGAAAAATAAATTATGCACCACATTATGTAGTGGGTAAAGATTGATAAATTTGTCAATAAAATATTTTAGAAACATGAGATTACAAGTTCAAACTCCTGAGCTCTCAACGTTTTTTTGTTTTTCTTACTTTCTCTAATTTTTCAAACTTTATTTTTATTTTTATTTTTGTTTTTGTGTTCGTATCACAAATCCCAACACCCAAATAAACTAAATTACAATAAAGGCCGCATTCAACTTCACGAAGACAAGGCAAAAATGAGTACCATCTTTTATTCCATTTCTCGAAATATATCATCACCTCATTGCATATTGATGTAATGTGTTACTACATATTTAATTATTTATACTATATCTTCAAAATACATGCTTTGCATTCCTGTTGGATCAGTATTGTACCCACAAATAATATTATCTGATTGGTGACAAAAAAATAAAAAAAAATTAAATAATAATAAAAAAAAATTGTAAAGTGATGCTTAATTACTCTCAACTTTGATGCTTAACTCCAAATTTTAAATACTGAGAATAATTATAAATTTTTTTTTTGACACCGATTAATTATAATTTTAAATTTTAAAAAGACTTATAAATAAAAAAAAAAAATTAATTTAAAAAAAGAAAATATGGGAGTTCTTTGAAGAACTATTAAAAAGAAAATACAAAATATAAAATGTTTATGTCACTGTACTATATCCTTCCTGCCAACAAAAACTTCAACTAACCACTGCTTATTTGCTTTCTGAGATAGTACCTCTAGCAGAGCTCAAGAATTTCAAGAGATGGTCCTCTTCGTTGCAATCGCAAGATCGTTAGGTCACAATTGCCTTAAAGAATCGAAACCCTACTTATCTGGACACTTCAATTCCAAGGGTTCCAATCTCTATAACTGGCAATATCAGAGTATCAGAACTCTGCTTTTGGAATCTGCTTCCGAATGCGTTAGGATTAAGAGGCTCTCCGATTCCGATTCGGGTAATTCAATTACATATATTGTTCAATCGCCCACACAAACACATATATATGAATTTATGTATATGTCAGTGAATTGAGAGGAATTGTTAAATTATCTTTCTAGATTGTATATGCATTAGATTGTTATGGTATACCCAATGCTTAGATTAGGTTAAAAATGTTTTTGCACATGGAAGAGAAAAGGGTAGGGTTAGCTTAATTGCTGATGCTGGAACATGTTTTTATTTTATTTTATTTTATTTCTATAGTGAATTTAACAGAAACCCACTAGAAAATGTTGTCGGAGTTGCAACTTTCTGCGAGGAACTGTAAACTAAAGAAACAAGAACTAAAAAGCTTGAACAAAAGGGTTTTGTTTGGAAGTGGGAAACTGATGAAAATGGAAAATGCTACCGAATTATCTAGTACAATCACACACACAAACACATATATATGCATCTAGATATATGTATTGTATTTATGTATATGTAATTGGATTGAAAGGAATTGCTAAATTGTCTTTCTAGATTGTATATGCATTAGATTTGTTATGGTATACCCAATGCTTAAATTAAGTTTCAATTTGTGTTATGCAAAAATGTTTTTGCACATGGAAGGAAAAAAGCAAAGGGTTTGTTTAATTGCTTTTGTTGGAACATGTTTTTGTATTTCTGTAGTTGAATTAACAGAAATGGAGTGGAATAGACAGCTTGGTATACAATTTTTTTGAGAGAAACTGTAAGCAAAAGAAACGAGAACCAAAAAGCTTGAACAGTTTTTTGGAATTGGGAAACTAATGAAAATGCAAAATGCTATCGAATTTTTATGTACTATCACGCCCACAAACACATTTGTTTGCATATAGATATATGTATTTATGTATATGTAAGTGAATTGAAAGGAATTACAAATTTATCTTTCGATATTGTATATGCATTAGATTTGTTATGATATACCCAATGCTTAGATTAGGTTTCAACTTGTATTATGCAAAAATATTTTTGCACATTGGGAAAAAAAAAAACAAAGAAAAAAAAAGCGAAGGATTAGTTTAATTGCTGTTGTTGGAACATGTTTTTGTATTTCTGTAGTGAACCTAACAGAAATGGAGTAGAATTGACAGCTTGGTATTACAATTTTTCTGAGAGGAACTGTGAGCTAAAGAAACGAGAACCAAAGGGCTTGAACAAAAGGGGTTTTTGGAAGGTGGAAACTGATGAAAATGCAAAATGCTACCAAATAATCTTTGGAAAACACAATCTTTAAAATACTAGAACTCTACCAAATTTTGATATGTATTTATTACCCTAATTTCTGGAAGATCCATTTCCTCGCCTGTTAATTAACTGTGTTGTGCTCATATTCAGCTACAAAATTTGTTGAAGTCTTTATGCTCTCTAACTTTGCCAATCAAACTATAATAAGTTTTATATTATTTGTTTTATATGTGTTGTCAAGCAAAATCTAAATGGTTGTATAATCGTTAATATTTTCCGAGTCATAACTCTTCAATCAGCATGGTGTATTTATTTTGTCTTGTCACTGTTCTTGCTGTTGAACTCTCATAAGCTAAGATAATAGCAAACCACTGTGGTGGCAACCCATTTATATGTTTTTCGTACAGAGAAAAGAAGGAAAAACTTACACCTCTATCCCCTTACCTAAAACAAAAAAAAAAAACTCATCTATCCCCTTGAAACAGTACTGTCTCTTTCCATATGCTCCACCACATACATAATAACGTTACACTCCAACATCTCAACTTGCATGGTCACTCTGCACTTTGTCCAGCTGTTCAATATTATAATAGCAGAACGAGGTATAACCAGTAATTCCCTAACAAATGATGAACATTTTTGCATCACCATTACAAATTCAGCACCAGTATTCATATTCTTTTTTTTTTTTTTTTTTTTTTCCCCTTGAATATTCATATTCGATTAATTTTCAATAGAAAAATACTCTCTAGACAAACAACCTTGAAAGGAACTTTGGTATGTCAAATATATTCAAGGTATTTCTGAAGGCCTTCCTCTTCTTAGCACTTCAAATTTCCTTTCTTTGAGCACCCATCTGAAAGAGTGTTCCATTTGGATCAACCATGAAAGCATACAGGATCATGAAGCTCGCTGCATGTTTCTCCGAATAATGCAATGCTTTGCTAAGGTGTTGATCTAAAGATTCTAAACTACTACTCTCTCTGACACCACAAATAGTCTGCCACGAGGGCATTCTATTCTATCCACAACTGTGCTTATTAGACTTGAGAATAAAACCTTCAAAGGGCCATTGCAATACTAGGATATGCCATAGCCATTTCCCACAACCAAAAATAAATTAAATCTTCAAGAAATCCTCCCTACCCATTTTAGTGCCCTTTCTAAAGCCTCATCTGGTGAAAAAGATGATTGTTATGGAATGAATACAGAATAGCTAATCTACCCTACTGCTACCATACTCTCTCCATGAAACTCCCATAATTTTTGTTTTTTCATTTTTTTTTTTTTTTACTTCAACTATTTTCCCAACCGTATCAACTAGCTAGAGCTTTGTGTTGCGAACTTACTTATCTTTTTCTTAACCAATTTATAACCTAAAATACTCTTCTAAAGCTTTTCGAGGCATTCATCACCTGATGTTACTGTAAGAACATGGACATAATGCACATCTGGAGGCTTAGAGAGTAACGCCAATAAGGGTAAGCCCACCCCCTTTTGAGTTTTGTCTAGCACTATTATTTTCACAAGTCACAACAGAATTCCACAATGAAGTACATTTAAAGGATGAAAACATTGGCAGCCCTACGTCGGTCCCAGGTGGGACTTGACTCTACACCCAAGATAATCACCACTCTGTCCACTGCCACCAGCTCTCAGTTACATGATGCAACCAACTGACAATTGTCTTAAAATGCAACCTAAGACAATTCAAATATCAAGATAACTCAACTAAAATGCCCCAATTTCTCTTCCTTTGTCCTAGCAAAACTAACAGTGTTGTCTCAAATAAAAATACAGCAGCTCTACCTCAAAACCTCTCAAGAACCTCCCTTGCTACCATTTATAATATCCCATAATACACAGACTGGGTGTCCTCTGTCTTCAGCAGCATCTTGAATTGCTGAAGAATCCAGCCAGTTTTCTATCTATAAAAAATTTAAATTTCATTAGAGAGACTTTAATTCATTTCTCCACTTCAGGTTGGACCATCCTCTCTACGGAGAATTTTTAATGCTTTGATCAAATACCTCTTTAAGTTTTAACTTGAAAAGAACTGCCCGCTTATTGCTCCAGATCCTCAAATCACATACTCCTATCATCATTAAAATTGCAATTACATTTCATCCCTAACAAATAACACCCTCATTTGACTTAATGGTTATAATTGAAACATTCCTTATTTCATTTTAAAATATAATTATATACCCAAGTTTAATAAGACACTATTATCCTTTATAGTTTGGTTTGATTGAAACCATCTTCTTCTCCCTCACTACTTTATCAACTACAAACTAATGAGTTTTATTTACAGGAATTATTGAGGTTAACTTGGATAGGCCTGAAGCAAAAAATGCCATTGGGAAGGATATGCTGAGAGGATTACAGCATAGCTTTGCAGATATAAGTAGGGATCATTGTGCAAATATCTTGATGATCACCAGTTTAGTTCCCAGAACTTTCTGTGCTGGTGCTGATTTGAAGGTAAAATATCTACTTCTGTTTTTGAATCAAGTTAGTCATGCAAGGAGTAGATATTGAGTTATTTTACATAAAATTTGAAGAGAAATGAAGGATGTACATGATAGAGGGAAGAAAGAATAAAAATCTTTGACTTATCTAGCAAAGAAGAGGAAAAACAAATAATCAGTCCATTCATAGTTAATAATGAAGAAAGAATCCACTTAATTATTTACAAAAAGTAACAAGAGCACAATTGCACATAAACCTCGAAGGCTTAGCATACATCACCATCCCAAGTACTACTGTACCTTTCTCTAATTTAAATCTCAAGGAAAAAAAAACAAGAAAAGAAAAGAAAAGAAAGAAAGAAAACATGTCCTTTTTAGATTGACATGATGAAAGAACTTCTTTGTGAAGGGGAATATCCACACAGTAGTTCAACCACAAACAACAAACACTTGAAATGGAACTAGCGATGGTTCTTGAGACCAGCCTTCAACCACCCTAGAGGGAACTTTAATCCTATGTTTTTTCTCCTTTTTTTTTTTTTTTTTTGGTTTCTCTTTTATGTTATTTATCTATTTGTTTGTTTTAAATTAGAAAGTCTTCTCCTTGTTTGTCATGCTGGTTCTTTAGACAGCGGAAGCGGAAAAATTAAAAATTTTCAGGATCTTTATATCTTATATCCTTCGAGTATATATAATAGATATCAGAAGTCTACAGTTTCTCGAACTAGTCATAGGAAGTTATTTTTATGAGAAAATTGAAGAAAGCTTGTCTTGAAACCCGTGTCCTTTGCATCTATCGCCTTAGTAACCATGCATCCACAATGAGTAAGCAGGAAGCCACACTTCTCCTCAAGTCTTTAATTGCTGGCATACTCAATTCCTCATATCAGAATCAATTGGTACATGCTCAACCATTACTTTAATATATTGCATCCATGGGCTAGAAGGGTTCTCTAGGGTTTCCTAATCACAGCTCTATCAGATTAAGAATCCCCACACCAAATATCCTCCCAAAATTTATTACTCCCTTCATCATCTTATATCCCATCAGTGTTACTTAGTTTATTGCCACCCCAACAACCAACACCCACCCCCACCACCCCAGAGACAGAGAGAGAGTGCTTTTCAAAGTAAATATCTTTTTATGTGTATATTAGAGAACATTGTATCTAAAATGACTGGACCTGGGTTCCAATGATTAAATTAATTCAAGGAATAGCATTGTCTCTTTTGGAGAGTGGATTTTTTATTGACATTACACTCTCTGATATTAATCACCATGATGTTGTCGTATTGACCACAAAAGATTTCACATTTGTAAGTGAAAAGTAAAATAAAATCAACTAGGGGGGAAAAAGAAAAAAAAAAAAAAAAAAAAAAAAAAAGTAAGATAAAAGCTTGAGTTAACCAAACATGTCAGAGTTAAAGAGTCTATTGCATTTAGTAGATAAGAATCACTTTAGAAGTGACAGTATTTTCCACGACTTTCTAATTAAGTAATGCTGATTCTTTCCAAGTGTCCAGTGTTTTTGAAATGTAAAGTCAACTACTCCAGTAGTTGAGAGTCTTAAGATGAACCATTCAACTTGTGGAGGTCCATTGAATTATAATACTTTAAATTAATGGCCCGACTTTATCACTGGCTATGAATAGTTTTTAAGTCACTGGATGACAGTTATAATGCCCAATGCACTAAATATGTGTTTCAAATAACACATTCCTTAAATTGAGAAACAAAATATCAACTATGAATGGCATTTGCTTCTTGGCACACAATCCCAATACATCATTGCTATTTATTTATCTGTTTGGGTTCACGTAATGTTTAGTACTAGTTATCTATGTGAATGCGTATCTCGCTGTCTCTCTTACTGGTTGATCTTGATGCTCGTATCCTTCTTTTATCGTAATTTTGAGTGAGTTGATTCACTTGCCTAACAGTGTCTGTGCTATAAATTGGTAGGAACGGAAGACCATGAGTCCATCTGAGGTTCAGAGTTTTGTTAACTCTCTACGCTCCACCTTCTCATTCTTGGAGGTTTGTCTTCATCAGACATCATGCTTTCTGATAACCAACTTGAGTTCCATATAAAATGCTTAGAATCCATTTGTGAACTTTGATTATAATTATTAACGAACATTTCCGGTGTTTTTGTGATGCTATATGCTATGCATGCGCCACTTTTACCTCTCACATATCAATCCCTTAGATGCCCTGTTGATGTCTTATTTAATCAGAGTTGCTTTCCTCTGCTTAGACCACTTAATAATTATATTCAGGCACTTCGAATTCCTACTATAGCTGTTATTGAAGGTGCAGCATTAGGCGGGGGACTGGAAATGGCTTTGTGTTGTGATTTTCGGATATGTGGTAATTCTGTATTTTTTATGCTTTGAGTTCATATTACTAGATTATGGTATGTGCTCTACTTTGTCTACTTAACCAAAGTAGAAAAAGATTATGATTTGTGCTCCCAACTCTTTGAAGTTGATAGTTTCACCATTATTGATTCAGGTGAAAATGCAGCGCTGGGCTTGCCTGAAACAGGACTGGCTATAATACCTGGGTATGTCTTAACATCTTTAATGAGATTTTATCTTGTTATATTTTTCCTTGTGGGATGCAAACTTCATCAGTTTTGTTTATTAAAGAAGTTAGGCAATCTTCTTTCTGTTTGTTAGACCATTCGTCTTTTTACGTGCTTTCTGGCTGACCATTAGCTGATGAAGAACTGTAGCACTTGCCTGCTCATTTTTCATGTTTGGAGGATGTTATAGCTATTATATATTTTTTGACAGACTAAACCTGCCTTCATTTTGGCATGAATAAGTTTTCAACAAAGGGGTCATGTTTCGGCACATTATCTTATCACGGAGTCATGGCCTTTTACAGGGCAGGTGGGACCCAACGGCTTCCTAGATTGGTTGGAAAATCCATAGCAAAGGATCTTATATTTACTGGTCGAAGAATTGGTGGCAGAGATGCTGTCTCAATGGGTATGTTTGGGAGCTTCTTAAAGATTGAGATTTAGTTGGTCCTCATTTAGCAATGAAGATGTGTTATGATGTAGGCCTTGTCAATTACTGCGTTCCTGCTGGTGAAGCTTATTCAAAGGCCCTAGAAATTGCTAGGGACATAAATCAGAAGGTACATACCAGTATTTTCCCAAAATCTACGTATATAGAATAGTGTCATGTGTAGAATACTATGCAGTTTGAAAAGGTCTCACTGCAAATGTTTTACTGACAGGATCTTTTGCATTATACTTTTATTTGATGCCCATATGTTGGATTATTATTTTCTTTGCAATTTTAGATTTCAGAGAATATCCTTGAATCTTTAGACTTTTTATGGATTTTTTAGGCTATGAGAACTTAGTTTTTGTCAGCTCATGAAAAATGGTGTACGAGTGTGGGACCTTGCTGAAAACAATGATCATGAAAGTGGTGGCAGGTTTTGGTTAGGTTTGGGCAAAGTAGCAGCGGTGAGACAATTGATCGAATGATGGGGGAGGTGGTGGTCCTGAAGGAGGTGAAGGTGTGAAGGAGTTGGGTTTATCAATGGCGCTTGTATGGGTGAAGGGGTCAAGAGTAATTGGTGGTCGTGGAAGGATGAAGGGGAGAGATAGATACATAGAAGAGGGAATTTAGAGATTGAAAAGAGATCTCGGAGGGAGGGAAAGGAGAAGAAGAAAGATGACTTAAATTTTACTTGCTTGGAAAAAGACATTTTTTACCCCTACATATTGCATATTGATACTAATACATCATATTGTTCTCAGGGTCCAATAGCAATAAGGATGGCAAAGCGAGCTATAAACGAGGGACTGGAGACAGACATGGAATCAGCTTTGGAATTGGAAGAAGATTGCTATGAACAGATTTTGAACACAAAAGATCGCTTAGAAGGCTTGGCTGCATTTGCTGAGAAGCGAAAGCCTAGATATACAGGTGAATGAAAGAAACCAGAATTTTGATAATGACTCGTTTCTAGCACTGTTGATCTCTTCTGCTTGATCACCATGCCTGTTTACCATCTGAGTCCTGTGCAAAAGCTGCATGCTAGACATATTTCTTAGAAGGCTTGGCCACATTTGCCGAGAAAGTGTGAGCCTAGATATACAGGTGAATGAAAAGAATCACAACTTTGATAGTTTCTCTCGTGCTTGATGTTCCTGCATGCTAGACATACTTCAATTTACATGCTAACAATTTAAATCATGTTGTTGATGGTAAAACGACGTTGCGGGGAGTTTTGGACAGAAAAATGACATTAACTTAATATTGGCTACTCTATGTTAGTAATGGTACATCAATAAAATTCATTTTCGAATAATAATAGTTGCTAAGCATCATCTTTCATTTCTACGTTGTTCTGTAGAACCAATATGTGAGGTTCTTACATTTTAGGTCTACTGTCTTGGAATGAATGATCTCAAAACAGTCTCTATTACCTAACTGTATGAATTACTTTAAACGAAGACACTGTCTGGTAAGATAAATTTCTAGCAGATCAATTGCCATCCTATCAGAACCTATTACCGGGGAGTTTAGAAAATAAATTGGAAAAAGAAATTCCTAGCCAGGCTAAATGATTATGGTTACTAGATGAAGAAAATTTGACTGCTTAGGCAGGTTCTTTCACTCATTCTGAATCCAACTGGACTTAGGCTTAAGTTATATAAATCACGAGTATGTGGCCTTTTGGTGCAACATACTTGCAGGGCATGCATAACTTGTTTATAGTAGTTTAGTTCAACTGGAGGTTACCAGTTGCTCCATGACTTGGAGGTCACGGATTCGAAACAGAAAACCGTCTCTCCGCATGCAGAGGTAGGTTTGCGTCCCGTACATCTAATCCTCCTCAGACCTGATGGGAGGGAGACTTATGCACTGGGCTAGCTCTATTAGTTCAACTGTAAATTCATTGGTAATTTCGGTATTTCCTTCTTGTTTTATCTTCATTTACTTGGTTATATAATGTATATAAAGTATAAAAGTATAAACCCTCAATAACTGATATGGCAGCTAAATGTGAAACCAATATAAAGAACACCAAGTCAGTCAACAAACACAACATACAACTTGGGACTCTTGACCAGTTTGCAAAGAGCCTGATGCATTTAACCACGTTATATCTAATAATTTATTTCCATGTCTTTCTTGACCGTACATTTCATTAGGAATGAAAATAAATAATTATCAATTACTTCTATGAAATAGATAGGGGTTGACAAGTGTCGTATGTTGGCACTCATTTTGCTTGGTTTGGATAGCAATTTTAGATTAAATAAATAAATATAAATCATATTAAATCATGGTTACATTCAATGGGTTGAGTTTGACGTATGATATCTTTAATTTCATTTTCAAACGTGTGTTTGTTTGAATCATCTATTGTTTACATAAGTAAATTTGTATAGTGTCTACTAGATCGTATTTAGGCTAGAATTGCACAAAACCTTCCGTACTATTTAGTAGAGAAAAATGGTTTGGAGTCCGAACTCGAGAACTAAGGCCTGTTTGCTTAGTGCTTTTGTTTCATGTTTTTTGTTTTTGCTAGTGTATTGTAGCAAAGCAAAAGCAAAAGCACGAAGCATGTTTGATAATATTTGATGTGTTTTTCAAAATTAAAGCCAAAATCAGAAGCATCAAAATGATACTTTTGTTTGCTTTCGCATTATAGCAAATGTTCAAAAAAAATAAAATTTTAATATAACATTTTTAACTAATTGTTCAAATTTTTAAACTTGCAACACTTTTTACCAAACATGCTTTTATATTTCTACTTTTAAAAATTTTATAACAAATTTACATTACCAAACAAATTTTTAAATAAAACAAAAACATCATTCCTACTTCGAATCAAAATAAAAGTACAAAGTAATCAATTGACCAAAAAATCAAAACAAAGAGAGCGACGACTAATCTCACACTATTCTAACGTGGGTGTTATATTGCATTAAACGACACACTTGGATTCATCATTTTCCCTATCATTTTAGAATGTTAGAAAAGTCATCCATTATCTTCTGCAAACAATAATTGAAATTTCAACTAGCTTTGATGAAGTCAAGTCATATTTTGAAAGTCAAATGTATGGATAAAACAATGTTCAATAGGACCGTAGTACTGTCTTTGTCTGCCCCTCGTGTGCTTAAAACCCTTAACTTTGAGGTGACGCGAGACCCAGTGTACGAACTACGCACGCAATTTACAGTGTATCCAAATATTATTTTACTTTCACCTTTGACTTGTGATAACGAAAATTTTAAGTTATGACTAATGTGTTTTCACACTTTGATTTTTTACGAATTCAAGTTATGACAATGTGTTTTCATACTTGATTTTTTTTTTTTTCTTTTTATACTAATTCGACTTTTTGATACGAGTTGGTTGACATTATAATACTATCAATGATTACATAAAAACAGTCGGAATTATTTACGTAAGTACATGTTAAATTAGACTTTGGCATCTCCTTTAGAAAAGACCGACTCCAAGACATTTTTTTCTTATAATCTTTAACAGAAACTCCTCTGTTTTCAGAACTGATTAAAGTACTGATAGCGATTGTTCTTGGCATTCAGAAATTCATAAAATTGATTGACTGTGAAATTAACAACTTTCTTCCCTTCTCACCTCTATTGCTTGAAGACTGAACACCAAGGCATTTCCAACCTTCCACAAATAGCAGTACACAAAGGAAGCCAATCCTAGTAGTAGCCAATATTCTGTGTTCATTTATATCCATACCATCGTTCGCAATATTAGTCACGGTCTAATAGACTCGAACAAAATCAATATCAAGTATCTGAATCAAGTGTCAAACTAAAAAACAAAGTCGCGTATCACTTTTATTTAACCACTAACTTATATATACACAAACAATTTGATTATGCAACTAGGCATCACGTATTAACGTTTGAAGGGGAATTCAATGATATAAGTATAGGACAAAAATGAGGGGAATTCAATGATAAAAGTATAAGATAAAAATGACAAAACGTAATATATATAGTGTATACATGAGTGTATACATACATATATATATATATATATATATGATTAAACTGCACTTATGCAAAAGCCTTGTGAGAACTCATTTTCATAACAATATGTTACATAAAAGAATAGAAAATTTCCTTTTCAAAAAGAATCATCAAACAAACGAAAGAAAACCACCCATTCACGACCCCAAATAGCCCTTCATTTTCCCTTGAAAATTTGAGGGTATCATGATCTCATTGTTCTTTAATGTACAATACTAAATTTTTATTTGGTTATAACAAGTACCCTCCAACCAACAACTGTTCTTGTTTCACCTCCAATCCACCACCGCCATTTCCCAATCCAGCTTGTCCCACCACCGGCACCGCCGAGCCCACCACCTTCCTCCACCGCTTTGGCGATCCATTTTCGGATGACGACGAAGGCTCCGACAATGAGGAAGACCTCTTGGACTTAACCCGAACTGGCTCGGGCTCGCCCGAATTTATCCGAAGCGGAAAATTGAGGAGAGCACGTGATCCGCGCATGCGGTACGCCGCCTGGTCATAAGCCAACGCTGCATCCTCCGCTGTCTCGAACGTCCCGAGCCAAACTCGGGCCCCATTCTTCGCCGGATCCCTTATCTCTGCCGCGAACTTCCCCCACGGCCGCCGCCTCACCCCTCTATAATGCTTCCCCTTCGCCTGCATTACCGCCGGCGCCGCCGCCTGAAACGTAAAATTCTCCGGCGAGCTAGTCATTTCTGTCAGAATTTCCGGCTCTTCCTTAACGGCGGTGGTGGTGGTGGTCGAGAGAGAAGGGAGCCACTCGATGTTGACGGCGTCGAGGAGGGCGCCATAGTCCACCATGTCCTCCGCGTCGTTTTCTATCAAAGGCAACTCACCCCAGTTGTCAGTGAATAATGGGAACAAGCTGCCACCGGAGTTGGTCGCCGGAGCATCGAATTCGTCAAGCAAGTGACGCCGTATCGACTCGAGCAGAGCAAAGTCGGAATCAAAATCACTATTTGTGTACATTGTCGAATCAGAATTTGAATCAATGAAATCCTAGATATGGGTATTGAATATCTTTCTGGTAGAGAGAAAGAGAGAGATAAGAGAGATTGTAGTCAAGCAAATGTTAGGAGTAGTGTCCTGAAGTTTTGAGAGGAAAGGTCTTGTGGGGCTTATATAGTTAATATCTGAGGTGTTGGTTCATGCACTTAGATTTAGTTTAAATTGTTTGTTTATTTTACTTTTCAACCTTTTCGGAAATATTTTATTTTATTTTTAAGAAGGTGGAGGTTTCTTCGAAAGTTCTGTGTGCAAGTGGGAGTCGTATTTTTCTCATTCACGTGGCTAAATTGTGCTTTGAGATGGGATGGAATTATGTCAATGGTGCCAAGACTAAATTGTTATATTGTGGTCGTCATCATCATCCAAATTACATCACCCTAATGCAGATATATAACAAAGTTGTTAATATAACGGCCAGTCGTATTTTTTATTTTTGTTAGTGTTGATGTGAAAATTCTCACACATTTACCTATAAAATAAAAGAATGTTACCTCGAATGGCACCAGTCGAGAATCCTTCGACGATCAAGTTAGTACTTGTAATCGTATCACATAATAATTATGTAATTTCTGTTTAGGGATTTTTTCTCGTACCTTCTTTTAACGGCTTGGTGCCTTATTTATGACTGTCGATTGGAATTAAATTGATCTCGCGGGAGATCCGCTTGTGCAAAATCAGAGGAGATCGTTTGTTGCCAAATTTGTCGGGGATAAGATTTATTTATTTGACTTCCTCAAATTATGCCAAGGTTATCCTCAACCTGTGGAACCACATCGTCATTCATTATCCTGGATAAGAAATGTCATCATTCTTATCCGAGAAAAATCTTTATCTCTGATAACGAAATATGTCCAAGAGGTCTGGCGGCTGTTCAATGTAGGTTATTTTTCTCTATCAGTTGCCCCACATTCCCAAGCTTGCTCGTCTAGCTTTGGGAATGTCATTTTTTTTTTTTGGCCCGAGGAACAGTACTCGCTGGTCCACATGAACAGTAACTCTTTTTTTTTTCCCCCTTGTCCTGGGAACAGTACCCGTGGGTACTGTTCATATGAACAGTAACAAATTATTATTTTTTTATTTTTTTTTATTTTTTTTTCCTTCTTCTTGCCCTGGGAATAGTACCCGCGGGTACTGTTCACATAAACAGTAATTTTTTTTTTATTTTTTATTTTTTTATTTTTATTTTTTCCCTGGGTACTCTTCTCTTAGGTAATGATCCCTTGGGTACTATTTTTGGTACCCTTGGATACTCTGCCCTGGGTACTATTCTTAATACCCTTGCGTACTCTGTCCCTGTGTACTATTTTTGGTACCCTTGGGTACTCTGCCCTGAGTACTATTTTTAGTACATTTGGGTAATCTTCCCTTGTGTACTATTTTTAATACCTTTGTGTACTCTGCCTCTGTGTACTATTTTTGGTACCCTTGGGTACTCTGCCTCTGGGTACTATTTTTAATATCCTTGGGTACTCTGCCCCTGGGTACTATTTTTAGTACCCTTGGGTAATTTGTTCCTTGGGTGCTCTGTCCCTGGGTACTATTTTTAGTACCCTTGGGTACTCTGCCCCTGGATACTATTTTTGGTACCCTTGGGTACTCTGCCCCTGGGTACTAGTTTTGGTACTCTTGGGTAATCTTCCCTTGGTAAGGCAATAAATTATACGAGCTTTACTTAGGTCGTCACTCATTTAATAAGGGAATTGAACTTTACTCAGCTCATCCCTTTAATAAGGGATTTTTATTTACTATCCCTTATTGTAAGGGGATATTAATAACGGGATTCATTCAACCCGAGTCCTTTTAGTACAGGACATTTATTTATTATTCCTTATAGTACAGGGATATGGATTAAGGGATTCATTCAGTCCGGGTCCTGATAATACAAGATATTTATTTACTATCCCTTATAGTACGGAGATATGGATTACGGGATTCATTCAGCTCGGGTTCTAATAATACAGGACACTCATTTACTATCCCTTATAGTCCGGGGATATAGATTACGGGATTCATTCAGTCCGGGTCCTTATAATACAGGACACTCATTTATTATCCCCTATAGTTCGGGGATATGGATTACGGAATTCATTCAGCCCGGGTCCTTATAATACAGGATACTCATTTATTATACCTTATAGTACGGGGATATTGATTACATGATTCATTCAGCCCGGGTCCTGATAATACATGACATTTATCCCTTATAGTGCAGGGATATGGATTACGGGATTCATTCAGCCCGGGTCCTTATAATATAGGACACTCATTTACTATCCCTTATAGTATTGGAATATTGATTACGGGATTCATTCAACCCGGGTCTTTGTAATACAGGACACTCATTATCATCCCTTGTATCCCTTATGGGGGAAAGAGGTGTAGTTTGAAGGAGGGTGACCCTTTCAATACGAGAGGTAGTCGTCTTGTCTCTCTAGTAAATGAAGGAAGCTTTAATTATATACGACACTGCGATGATAAAACCTACTTCCCTTAATATGTAGATCGATGATTAATATCGTGTGACCCACTATTCTGCCCCCGATGATGGGATCTTGGGTGATGACCTATTCTATAGACGTTTATACAGCGGACGGGGTGCCTGGTGTTGCAAAAAATTACAGTTGTCTAAAAAAATTAGATTGTGTTAGAGATGATTACTGAAAATTAACCTGCCATGGATTATCAATCCAAAATTCTGCATAATCTAAAGTCGATGGGCAATTCCTGCAAAGGAAGAGAGGTGACGACTGTCGTCTGGTAGGTGGAGGCTTTACTAGTAAGTAGAAATCCCATTGTTGGTAGTGATTTTCTTGATTGGTAGAGACCAACTCATTTATGTAGGCGCAGAAGAGTTTGGTCTTAGATGACCAAACCTCAGTAGTGAGGGGACCAAGTATCGCTAGATGGAAAACACCACATTGGACTACCGGGGTCGACATGCTAAATTATGATTATTGTCATTGTACACTGGGTGGCATCACGCAACCCACCGTTTTGCCCCCAATATGATGGACATGTAATCATGATGTAGAGACCCGTCCTTATATAAGAACATGGAAACCCGTTGTCAACTCACCTTGGGATGGTTTCCATAATCGGAAACTGTCGTTTTGTCGTCCAAGCCAAGTCGCGTCAGGATTATTATTTCTTCAGAGAACTAATCATTCCCACAGACGGTGCCAGCTGTTGATGCGAAAATCTTCGCTACTCGAAACAGCGGTGTTTACTTGCAAAACAAAAGGACGTCATCTCGAATGGCACCGGTGGGGTACCAGCCGAGGACGCTCTGACGATCAAGTTAATATTTGTAATCGTATCACATAATAATTATGTAATTTCTGTTTAGGGGTTTTTTCTCGTACCTTCTTTAACGGCTTGGTGTCTTATTTATGGTTGTCGATTGGAATCAAACTGATCCCGCGAGAGATCCGCTTGTGCGAGATCAGAGGAGATCGTTTGTTGCCAGATTTGTCGGGGATAAGAAGTTGGCGCGTGTGCAGCGCGTGGCTGCGCGTGAGGCCACCTATTAGCATGTGGTGGCGCGTGGAAGCGCGTGAGGAATGTTTGGTGGATTTTAGCTGTGCGTGGAGACGTATTTAGGGTCCCGGAAAGGTTCTAAGGGGTCCGGTGAATTCTCATATTGGATTTCAAGCTTGTTAAGGTTTAAACCAACCACCAAGGGAGATATTCTAAGGTTTTTAGGGCAATAAAGTGTCACTACGGTATTTAATGTGCGTATAATTAATTAAGTAATATTACGTGACGGAAGGAAATATATATATATATATATATATATATATATATATATATATATATATATATGATTATTTATATATGTGTATATATTGTTTAATTGGTTAGAATAATTATGGAGGGATGTGTATATATGTATATTTATTAATATATATGCATATATGATTTAAATAATCAAGAATTTTTATAGATGGTATTATACATATTTATTTATGTGTATGTATATATATCATTTAAGATTATTATTCTTATTTGATATATCTGGATAGGCAGATTATTAAATTAGTCATATGCTTCTACATGAGATATCTATGTATGAATTAGTTATCGTTGAGTCTAAAGTTGGTACATGGTTGAATTGTATGCATGGATGAGTTGCCATAGGCATAAATATATTTCCTAAGTACTAGTATGAATAAATTACATACATGGGAAACATGGATGTGTTGCTAATTAAAAGTATACATATATATACTTAAGGAGGCATGGTTGAGTTGTCATATATAAATAAATATATTGATTAGGGCATGGTTGATTTGTCAAAGCGTAATTTAATTGTTATGTGTGAATTAGCTAAATTCATTATTGGCTTTTGGATTATAGTTTTCCTTGAATTATATTTTATTATTTAAATGATTAAATAATTATTTAAAATGGAGTTAAGATTAAAGGGGTTTCTCTTTTAAAGAGAATGAGTTTTGAATTGGTTTAGGTATAGTTATGTTTTAATCATGGTTAAATGGTTTTGAAAATTAATGAAACTATTAATGGATGCAAATGTTATATCGTATATAATTATCTATACATATGCGTATCATTGTTTAGTAAACTTAAAACTTTATTAAGTTTGGTTTTGATCAGAGATGATTTACTTATTGGTTTTCAGAGGTCTGGTAAAGTGATCTTGCTCGTAGAGTTTAACCCACGATTTATTTTTCAGGTTATTTGAAGTTCAAGTCTCAAAGTTGAGAATCTGCAACTGGAGGACTTATCCATTTCTTCTATTTTTTTTTTCAAAGTAGGATATTTTTACTTCACTAATTATTAATGGATTTATGCACAGTAGATTTTGGTGAAGGGGTCCTTGAGTTACGGGATTCCCGAGTTGTAACCGTTGGCGAGTTATTAATGAAAAATGTTAATTTATTAGTTTTTCTTCCACGTATTATTTATTCTTTTATTTCATTTTGTACTCTGTGCTTGTTTGAAATACTTTAATTGTTTTGATATCCCCTGATTTTGTGCGCGGACTTGATCAACCCGTGTTCCGAAATTATGGAGTATGAAAGTATGCTATAGGAAGTAAAAATACAAAATATTTTTAGTAAGGTTTGTTATCATTTGAATAGTACCAAAGTGTTTTCAAAATTAAGACCAAAATCAAAAATATCAAAATAATACTTTTATTTGCTTCCGTACTGTAACAACCACCTTTAAAAACAAAAACAAAAAACAAAAGAATTAAAAATAACATTTTTAATTAGCCATTCAAATTTTTAAACTTAGCAACACTTTTTACCAAACATACTTTCATATTTTTACTTCTAAAAATCTTGTAACAAATTTACGTTAGCAAATAAGTTTCGAAATAATGTTGAACACACTCTAAAACAGAAACACTGCTTCTGATTTGAGTCAAAACATAATTGTTTCATAAGTAATACTCCCTCCGTCCTATATTAGTAGTCCATTTTTCTCTTTTTACATATCCCAAATTAGTTGTCCTATTTGAAAAGTCAGAGTAAATAAATTCTATATTTTCATCATTGTCCTTTATCTTTTTAAAAAATTTCAAACTTTGTAAATATATATATTTAAATTAGAAGGGACAAATTGGTAATTTTAAAAGGGGACAATGTATTAAATGCATGTCCCCTCAAAAACTCCCATTTCTAAAAATGGACATCTAATGTGGGAGGAATGTAGTATAAAATTGTTAAAGGAATGATGTAATGACATAATTAAGAGCAGTGCTATTCTGCCCGACTTGCTTTTCGCTTACCAAAACCGACAACACGTGTCAGCTTTAGAATTGCGGCACTTCTCTTTCCACTTATCTTCAGTTTCTTTCACTCCTCTGTCATCTATCTCCTCTCTCTTTCCTACGGCCGGCATCAGCACCATGGAATCACCATCAAGCAAAGCAATCAGTGACGGAGATTCGTCGGGAAAGAAGAGATTGACGAAGTCGAGACGTCGGCCACAGATTTGTAGCAAGTTCGGTCTCTGGTCGAAATCCGATAACGGATCCGGCGATATCACAGACCTGTCCCGGTGATACCGATCACCTTTCGATGCCATCCTCACCGACCTCATAGGTTGCAGTCAGTCACGACCAGCCCGTACGCAACGCTAATCCTTGCTCGCAATGTTTTCTTCCTTCTTTGTCCATTACTGGAATCGCGCACCACTCGTCTGTACGCACCAAACCCTCTCTATATCAAATTGTATCGACAACCTGCAACTTCCGATCATTTCGACGGTGTTCTGTTCTCTGCCATCATCAGTCCTTGTCGCCGACCACCAGTCCACTCTGTCGTCGTCACGACCATCCCGTAGCCGTCCTTTATTGTTGGTGTTCTCAGAGCACAACCTTGCTCGCTGCCGGCCTTGTTGAATCTTCCATGGTCATCACTTCATCATTCTACCACCATGCTGGTGGTAGTGGTGGTTGTGGGGGTTAGGGTGGTGGTGGTGGTGGCCCCCGTCGGTAGTGGTGGTAATGCGGTGACTGCCAGTTATGGTGGTGGTGTTTTAGTAACTGGTTATGGTGACAAGAAGTGAAAATTATGGTGGTGGAGGGGCTTCACTAGACAACAAGTGAAAATTGTGGTGGTGGTGGGGCGTCGAAACTGTATTTCATCCTTGGATTGTCGTTCATTCTCAAAGAGATTGGAAGGTTTTGCAGAGTGAGAGAGGCTGTGAGCAGAGCAAGAGATTGAGGGAAGTGTTGTGTGCAAATAAGTTGTTGCCACGTGAAAGTCGGTTTTTTGTCGGGTATATATCTATGTCAAAAAAGGCATTTCTCCATAATTAATAGTATAAACTTATTACATGAACTTGTTTGTGAGACAGAAGGGGATTGAAGTTCATTAGATTTGAGTATTATACAGAAAATGGAAAACACAAACATCGCTGCTAATTATTGAGTGTGTGAATTTCACCATGAGATTGACAAGATCTAAGGGGTGAGATAGTTAACAATAGCTACTATGCTTCGCAAAGTGTACCAAAAAATTATTTTTTAACACGGTCCCTCATGACACTGTGCGGTGCAAACAGAACAATCATGAATTACTTTTGGGGATTGGTAGCTGAAAGTATGAATTACTTTTGTTAGTGATCAGGTCCTTAACGATCTCAAATATTTAATTTTGAAACCCTAAATGATAGAATTCTGCCGAAAAACAGTGTACCTCAACAGCGGAGTTTGCCCTAATCCTTGCCTTGCACAGCCTGAAATAAGACTTTAGTATATCCTAGCCTTCCCTCTCACTGCCAGAAATAAGACTTTGGCATCTCCTTCATAAAAGACTTTTATGATACATGGACTTGCAACATATTTCATAACATGACTCAAAAAAATTTTATTTATTTTTTATTTTTTATCTTAAACAGAAACTCCTCTGTTTTCAGAGCTGTAGCAATTGTTCTTGGCATTCAGAAATTCATAAAATTGACTAATTGTGAAATCAACAATTTTCTTCGGGATTGTTTGATTTGTAACTCTGAAAACTGTTATCTGTTTTTATAGAACTGAAAACACAAAACGGTACAAAAATTCTGCTTGATTCAGTTTTTTGAAAACTTATGAAAATAATTTTTTGTTCTTTGAATACTTAAAGAATTATTTTCAGAATTACAAACTCTTAATTTCTCACCTCTCTTGATTTAAGAATGAAGATCAAGGCCTTTATAACCTTCCACACAAATAGCAGTACACAAAGGATGCCAACCTCAGTAGTAGCCAACATTCTGAATCCATTTGTATGCAGTCTCACAAATGTATGTACTGCTCCTAGTTTTTATTAGTTTAGGGGTTAATATTGGATTTAGGTTTAAATTTTAAATTTGAAACAAGCTTGGAGATTTTGGTGTTAATAATAAAATTTATAATTTAATGACTGACCTTAAGTAATTGTAGTCAGGTTATCATGGTTAATCTAAAGTAACAAACCATGATCTTATTTGCTTTTGAAGGATAATTGTATCATTAAAAATAGAAAAAGAAGAAGAGAGGTGGAATGCAACCCTACAAAGGTAGAGTGTGAATATTCATTCAAATATAATTTTGTTACACTAAGAATTATTAGAATTCGCATGGTTTTAGTTGTTTGAAAATAAATTTCTGTTTACTAGATGATTTGATTTTTAATTTTTTTTTTATGTGTATCATGATGTGTGATGACAATCTATGTCAATGTAATAACATGAAGGGTAAAGTGCAAAAAACTCTCTGAATTATTAGTTAATTGTACAAAACCTTCTTGAATTAAGAATATATAACTATTAAAAAATTGTATTTAAGAACAAAATAAAAAATTATTATCACCAAAAATGTCAGATTACAAAAATACCCTTAATGGGAAGCAGTCGTTTAAGTATTTTAGTACCTGCTATTGCTAACGTTTCGAATACAATCTCAATTATGTGTAAAGTAATTCCTTTTGTTAGGCATATAACGTTTGAAGGATAAATTGAAATTCAATGATATAACTATATAAAATAAAGATGACAAAATGTAATAAAGACATGATTAAACCGCACTTAATTATGCAAAAGAACTCATTTTCATAACAAAATGTTACATAAAAGAATTGAAAATCTCATTTAAAAAAGAATTAATTAAACAAACAAAAGAAAACCACCCATTCACAATCCCAAACAACCCTTCGTTTCCTTTCCTTCTTTTTTTTCTTTTTCTTTTTTTTTCAAAAATTGAGGGTGTCATGATTGTCATGGTTCTTCAATGTACACTACAGAAATTTTCACTTACTTAGAACATGTACCCTCCAACCAACAATGGTTCTTGTTTCACCTCCAATCCAACACCACCCCCATTTTCCAATCCACCTTGTCCCAGCGCGGGCACCACCGAGCCCACCACCTTCCTCGGCCGCTTTGGCGATCCATTATCCGATGAGGAAGAAGGCTCCGACGACGAGGACGACCTCTTGGACTTGACCCGAACTGGCTCGGGCTCGCCCGAATTTATCCGAAGCGGAAAATTCAGCAGAGCACGTGACCCTCGCATGCGATAGGCCGCTCGGTCATAAGCCAACGCAGCATCCTCCGCGGTCTCAAACGTCCCGAGCCAAACCCGGGCCCCATTCTTCGCCGGATCCCTTATCTCCGCCGCAAACTTCCCCCACGGCCGCCGCCTCACCCCTCTATAATGCTTCCCCTTCGCCTGCACCACAGCCGGCGCCGCCGTCTGTGGCGGCGGCGCCACCTGAAACGTATAATTCTCCTGCAATATGGTCATTTCCGTCAGAATTTCCGGCTCTGCCTTAACGGCGGCGGTGGTGGCGGCGGTGGCCGAGAGAGAAGGGAGCCACCCAATGTTGACGGCGTCGAGGAGAGCGCCGTAGACCACCATGTCCTCCGGGTCGTTTTCTTTCAAAGGCAACTCACCCCAGTTGTCAGTCAATAAAGGGAACAAGCTGTTACCGGAGTTTGTCGCCGGAGCTTCGAATTCGCCAAGCAAGTGACATCTTATCGACTCGAGCAGAGCAAAGTCGGAATCAAAATCACTATTTGTGTACATCGTCGAATCAGAATTTGAATCAATGAAATCCTAAATATTGGTCCTGTATATATTTATGGGTAGAGAGAGTAGGAGAGGTGAGAGAGACTCTAGTCAAGAAATTGTTGGGAGTGTGTCCTGAAGTTTTTAGAGCAAAGGGGTTGTGCGGTTTATATAGTTAACATCTGAGGAATTGGTTCATGCACTTAGTCAATTTTTAGTATATGTTTTCAATAATATATATATATATATATATATATATTTGGTTTTATTTTACTCCACTTTTTTATTTTTTATTTTTAAAATTTTTGGAGGGAGGTAGAGGTTTCTTTGAAAGTTCTCGCTGCAAGTGGGAGTAGAATTATAGGAGCTTTTTATTCACGTGGCTAAATTGGGGTTTGAGAGGGATGCCATAGCATGATGTCATTAAATCAACCAATTCGCTTCCCGATCTTTAGATTGAAGGATTGAAGGCGTCGTGCCCAAACAACGAAGTTTGGAACTTGCAAAATTTGAGGGCTGACGGTTAATATGATTATTTTGTAATTTTTTTTATTATTTTATATTTTAAATTTTATCATTTTAAATGATAAAATTCAGTACTTCCATAAATAAAATTTTATCATTATAATTATAAAATTTGATGTTGAATAAAGAATTTTCAGAATACTGTTCTGTTCCTTAAAAAGATAAAAATTTGATAAAAGGAAAAGAAAAATGAATGGACAAGACATTAGTAGGAAATAGACTATTTTTTTATTGGGTTGAATAGAAGATAAGAGAATAAACTCATAAGTTACTATTTTTTAAGAGAGAAATACGAGTTTTATTATTATTATTTTTTTGCTATTATATGTAATAATATTTATAATATTATTATTTATAAATGACAATACTGTAATTTAAAATTTATATAATTTATGACAGTATTTAATTTAATTTTTTTATAATGGTTCACTTGTCTTCATTCTTTTCTTTTGCTTATTGTTGGGCATATAACAATTTGTAAAATAAGAATGATGGATGATCTTTCATATCTCTTTTCTTTTCTTATATCATCTCTGCCGATCAGATGAAGTTCATTTATTTTTTTTTATTTTTTCTCCACACATTTTCCTTCCTTCCTATATAACACAACACAACACATACAACTTGAAGTCTCTACTCACACACTCATTTTACTTTTTTTGAAAATTCCTACCAATATAACAATCTCCTAAAAATTAAAAGCAAATAACAAAAATAGAACACTGACGATGAATCGGCAAAAAGGCGAGGAGAGGAAAAAAGAAAACATGTTTAGGGACCCAATATTCAATTTGGCGAGAGATGGATTCATTGGTTTGGGACAATGTTTTCTCGGATAAGTCTCAGACAAAGTCAAATGTACCATTGCATATGTGGATGGGGCCTACTTTTATTTCTTTGCTAATCTATTAAAGGGCGGCAATAGGGTCCTACCATTACCGTCTCTTCCGGGAAACTGACTCACAATCTTTCCATCTCACTTGAGAATATATTAATTACATAATTCCTATCTCCTAATGGTAAAACATTACTGAATTTTTTTTTTTTTTTTTTGGTTTATTCCATTCTTTTTTTTTTTCTTAATTAGTATTTACACACATATGCCTCTATCTAAGCTCGCATCCCTATTTTTTTTTAAAAAGTAAAAGTCTAATATCGTTAAATTATTGACCTTTTGATTCTTTCTTATTTTTACTTTGTTAAATATTCAATCTGTAATTCCCAAAAGGCTCAATCCGTTTCCAACTTCATTTCTGAATTACAATGGGGATGGTGCCCAAGCTTAAAAATACTACGAATTTGAAATTTTTTTTGTTCTGTTTAATTTTCTATATATATATATATATATATATATAATATACTGTGATTTTGTGCCCCATACGATGAAGTAACCAAAATGACTCCATAATATTATTAACTGACACAACATGCAAAAGAGTATATATATTTTATTTTATTTATTTTTATATAAGTACTCACACATAATTTTACCCCTACTAAGTTTCGAAACCCTTCACCTTTTTAAGTAGGAGAGATTTCATCTCTAAAAATGAGCTAATTCTTCTTCTTCTTCTTCTTTTTTTTTTTTTTTTTGTTGAATCTTAAAATGAGCTAATTCTTTTGTTAAGAAAAAATTATACCAACTCAAATATTAATTGGTCAAGCATATCGTGATTGTTCAAGTTCGATCATGTCAAATTGAATTCGTGTTCGATCTCTCCATATTGAGTCCAACTATTAATGAGCTTAGCTTGATTAAAAATTTCGAACTTGAACTCTTGAGTTGGAATTCAATCTCGAACTTGTGAGAATGTGTAATAATAAGTATATAAATTAACTAGAAACCCTAACTAAATTTTAAAATGAGTTCTATTGATTTAGAACAGATGTAGAACGGATGGTTTATGATTGTGGGAGAGTTTTGACCACTAAACTCAAAACATGTGGGCTGATATATTTTTTCAAAGAGTTTTATCGACAACCGTATTGGCCCATATAGATTTAATTGTGATCGAAATTACATCAACAACTAAATTTTGGCCGAATTCAATCTTGTGAAGTTTCAAAAATGCGGCGTCTAGACGAACTTGGATTCTTCTAATTTTTGGTTTTTATTACTTTTAGTGATCAGATTTCATATCCCTTTTTTTTTTCCGTAATTTTTAGAGCTAGTACCATTTTGAGTTTTATTTTTTTTTGTTTTTAGGTTTCCTACATGTATTGCAAGACAGCGAAAGATATACATTCACTCATACAGGAAAAATCTCTCTCTCTCTCTCTCTCTCTCTCTCTCTCTCTCTATATGGATAAAGTACATTAAACCCCCTTCAATTATACCCAAATAAACACAAAACCCTCCTGAATTTCTAAATGAGCAAAAAACCCCCCAAACTATAGTGTTTGGTTGCAAATCACCCCACTCCGGTAGATTATGACTGACAAAAACAGCACATGTTATCACGTGATGGGAATTGTAAAATTAAAGGACCATAGTGCCCTTGTTCACACGAAGGGACTGTAATGCCCCTTCGTCACCATTATCGAATGGCAAATTCCCACTCCGATTCCCCAACGAAGTCGGAATTGGGCCGGAGAGTCTATTATTGGAGACGTCGCGGACGAGGAGGCCCAGCTGCTGAGCAAATTGTCGCCTCAACACAACCGCCACCCAAAAAAGTGAAAGTTCAAGGGATTTTTTTTTTAATTCAGGGGGTTTAGTTGCAAAACCCCCTATAGTTGAGGGAGGTTTAATGCACTTTACCCTATATATATACATACATTTATTAGTGTAATAACATATTAATTTTACTTTTTCCTACACTTTATAAATTCAACGTTGATTGTTGTTGTTCTTTAGTAAGCGTCCATAGCTTTTGCTTTGCCATCTACCAACGAGTTTTAACAAGCATATGTTTAGAAACTTAACTATTATTATTATTATTATTATTGGTTTGATAATAGTTCAAATTCAATCTTTTTATTCCACGTACATTAAGTCACTAGATATAACAAGGGTCATTTGTTCTATATTGGATCCGAATAAAAAAGTGATTGGATATAAATGGGTGAGTATATAGAATTATCTAACAGCTTGACCTTTTGGGTAAATAGGCAAACGCCCACCCGTTACAGTTGATATCAGAGTTAGACTAATCCTTGATCCGGTATCACGCCAAGCGTTCGAGTGAACACCTCGAATAGGCAGGGTCGAGTTTGGTTAGGGGAGAATGTAACAAGAATCATTTATCCCATATCCCATCCGAATGGAAAAGTTTTTAGGTAACTGGGTGCTTGCCCACTAGACAATTATCATAAAATTATTTTAAAGAAATTTCAAAAGAAAATGATAATGAACTCAACCCATTAAAAAATTCTACCAAACGGAATTAAGAAATTTTTATGACCCCAGTAATATTTTTAAAAATGATCTAAATTTCCTAAAATGGACAAAGAACTTGACTCTTTCAATACTGTATAAACACTGTATACACACACTGCATTTATACGGAGTATTTCCTTGTGTTAACCATTTGAACAAAGAATGACACACATCTCAAGGAAACCAGGAAGTTGACCACCTTGGTCACATTTGACTTTGAACAGGAACTTCTCTCCTTTCCAATTTTGGTAAAACCGGTGTGCGGGTCGCTACAGAAGCACATCAACACGTGCGCGGCACCGCAATGCCTGATCATGATTCACCAAACGACAAAAAATGGGCCCACAAACATATATATATATATATATATATATATAATAAAATTCTAATAGAAGACAATTCAAAGGAAAATTATAAACCAAACGTGAACAAATTGGATGATTCAGGGGACCTTCTTAGCTTGTCTTTTATGTGGAAGTCCACAAAGAAAAATAATTATTTTAGTCAAATATTTTATTAAAAGTTCATTGTTGAATTAGATTCCCGATCAATATATTTGGCTATATTTTATATTATTTCGTTCAAATACTTTAATTCAAACAATATTTTAATGCAACTTGTACGTGGGCTTTACCAATTATATGAATCATTAATTATAAACATTGTGTGTAAAGTATAAACACTCTCTCACATTCACACATATAATGATAATAATGACACGAATTTATATTAAATTAGATCAAATTAATTGTTTTTTTTTTGTTTTTTTTATTTATAAATATATAGCATTGTAGGTTCCAATCCAATGGTGCAAATTAAAGTATATCTAAGTTTTTTAAACCATTAGAAAAGGTGACGTGTTTAATGACATCTTAACAACAAATCTAAGGAACTAATTAAATTAATATTAAGATTCCAAAACCTTAATTTGTCCACATTAAACAAAGATTAGAACGAGCCGTAACGAATCTATATTCTTAATTTTTTAAATTATTTTAAATATTCAATAAGATCATGTTAATTTTGTAACTTATTAAGTAATCATATACATATACTGATGCATGCATGCTCGCGCATATATATATATATATATATATATGTTTGCGCCTCTTGTGGCCGTGGGCCACAGTAAGTTTTATTGTTTATTGCAACAAGGCACACTTGGAAATGCTGTCTAGATTCGTTCGTCAAGTTGAGATGAACATGGACAAATAATTCTAAAAAATATAATTTTTTTGATTTCTTATTTTCCAATGTCAAATAATTCTAAAAACAATCATTACAATTTTTCTTACTTTTGACATCACGTATAA